TGTGAGTCTGTGGGTCTCTGTGTGAGTCTGTGGGTCTCTATGCGAGTCTGTGGGTCTCTATGCGAGTCTGTGGGTCTCTAAGTGAGTCTGTGGGTCTCTATGCGAGTCTGTGGGTCTCTATGCGTGTCTGTGGGTCTCTATGTGAGTCTGTGGGTCTCTATGTGAGTCTGTGGGTCTCTATGCGAGTCTGTGGGTCTCTATGCGAGTCTGTGGGTCTCTATGCGAGTCTGTGGGTCTCTATGCGAGTCTGTGGGTCTCTATGTGAGTCTGTGGGTCTCTATGTGAGTCTGTGGGTCTCTATGCGTGTCTGTGGGTCTCTGTGTGAGCACAGTTGACGTTAGAAAAGAGGCACGGAATCAAAGATCACGGAGAGAGAAAATCCGAGCAGCAGCCGCCCCCACGCGATCGTGGAACTCTTAGCTGAGAAGATGATGATGAAGATGATGATGAAGATGAAGATGATGCAGATCATTATGAATATGATGATGATGATGCACAGGGCGTGTGGTGGGAGGCCCTTATCCAGCAGTGGGTGGACGTGGCGTGCTGAGCGCCGTGTACAAGTTCACGTGCGAGTGGCGCTCCCCGCGAGCCCCCACCGAGCCCCCCCCCCCCTCCAGACTTCAGACCGCGCCGCCCCAGACGCTGGACGGCGCGCGCGCAATGTGAGCGCCACGTGGAACAACGCTGCGCCACACGGCCTCTCAGATAAATAATTACAGTGGCCGGGGGCGCGGGGGGCTGTGTGTGGGGGGGGGGGCACACCCGCACTTGGCACCTACCCCCCCTCCCCATCCATCATCTATCCCGGCCCCCACCACCACCACCTCCACCACCAACACCACCACCACCTCCGCCACCAGCACCACCACCACCTCCACCACCAGCACCACCACCACCACCACGCTCCCGCGCGGTGTCGCTCGGCGCGGTCGCCCCTGGCCCCCCCCCCCCTCCCGGGAACGGTGCCTTCGGCGCCATCGCCCGAGGATTCGTCCACGTGCGATCCACCAAATCCTCGATGCTGCTGCTGCTGCTGCCGCTGTCGCCTCGACAGTGCTGGGTCGCAGGCCACGAGCGCTTCGTGGCTGAGATTCGTGAAACTATTGGACGTCTGTGAAAAAGAGTTTCGTAGCTTATCGGATTCCTCCAAGGATAAATAAACATTCTTATTATTATTATTCGCGAGGATTGCCACCTGTCCGGGTTTGGCCCGGGACAGTCCCGAGTGCTGTTTGTGTTCGGCTGACGGGGACTGATTCGTAACGGAGACCGTGATCAATATCAACACAATACCAGATGTGTCTCTGTGTACGTCTGTGGCTCTCTGTGTACGTCTGTGGCTCTCTGTGTACGTCTGTGGCTCTTTGTGTAAGTCTGTGGTTGTCTATGTAAGTCTATGGCTCGATATATGTCTACGCATAATCTAAAAATCGTGAGCACATTCGAAAATAACGCTGTCTTAATTATATGCTTTTAAGATGGGCCATGACCCGAAACGTCACCCACATTGTTATTGAGGAGGGTGTTGAGTTATTTTGTTCAATGTGCACCACCACCAACGGAGCAGAATCACCAAATAATTCGTCTATTTTATGGATCATGCCATTATATTTAGGTCTATCGTTCTGTATGCAAGTCTATGGATCATGTTAGTCTATGTGAGTCTATCGGGGTCTATGCGAGTTTATGGGTCTCTATGTGAGTCTATGGGTCTCTATGTGAGTCTATGGGTCTGTACGTGAGTGTATGGGTCTCTATGTGAGTCTCTAGGGGTCTATGTGAGTCGATGGGTCTGTATGTGAGTCTATGGGTCTCTATGTGAGTCTATGGATCTCTACGTGAGTCTATCGGGGTCTATGTGAGTCTATGGATCTGTATGTGAGTCTATGGGTCTCTATGTGAGTCTATGGGTCTGTATGAGAGTCTATGGGTCTCTATGTGAGTCTATGGATCTCTACGTGAGTCTCTCGGGGTCTATGTGAGTCTATGGGTCTGTATGTGAGTCTATGGGTCTGTATGTGGGTCTATGGGTATCTATGTGAGTCTATCGGTCTGAAGGGAAGTTTATGGGTCTCTATGCGAGTCTATGGGTCTGTATGCAAGTATATGGATGATGTTAGTGATGATGTAGGGAGCGGTAGTGTTGCGCTACGAACCCGGCGACCCGAGTTCGGTTCCCGCTCACGGCCATTGCGAACCTCGTGGTCACTGCGAACCCCGTGACCCTCGCCAGCGAGACTCACAGCTCCCCCCCCCCCCCACCACGGCTCGGCCGTCATCCCTGCCCCACACTCGGTCACAACCAATGAAGCCCTCAATGTGCAGCCGCTGTAGTTCGCACCCTGCCCAGGGATTATTGGTGGTGGGGTGGTGGGGGGTACACAACACAGTTGCCGCGCACCGCGCCACGGCTCCAATCGGTTGAAGCTGCCAGCAACAAACGGCACGATGATTAAAGTTGTACCAGATAGAGAGTGTGTCTGGGGGAGTTGGGTTTAACAAGGAAGGACAGGGTGGGAGATGGGGAAGTGAGAGGAAGACTCAAGGTGGTAGAAGTCACAGAGAAGATGAGAGAGAGAGAAAAGGCTCTGGTGTGGTTCGGTCGTGTGGAGAGGCAGCGGGAACATGATGTGGGTCAGACGGTGCAGGTGTTGCAAGTTGAAGGAAAGAGATGAAGAGGAAGGCGGCAGCAGAAGAGGTGGGGGGAAGGGGGGGGGCAGCGTGTAGAAGGTTGCCAATGACGGCGGAACACCTCCACTCGAGTGGGACACACGAGTGGGACACACGAGTGGGACACACGAGTGGGACACACGAGTGGGACACACGAGTGGGACACACGAGTGGGACACACGAGTGGGACACACGAGTGGGACACACGCGTGTGGAGGAGGAAGAAGCTGGAGAGTTTAACGCGCGTCTTGAATTGATAAATTGTTTCGATTTAAAGCTTTCGTGACTGCAGGGATTCATATTCTTGGTTCTTTCGGTAAAGTCACGTAGAAGAGAAATAATAAAATAATAAAAATAAAACAATAAAATTCTCACGACGTTTCGATTGCAACACAAGCAATCATCATCAGGTGGATGTTTCTTCTTAACGTTAGCACCATGGACTAACTTTTAGCAAATTTTCTTGCCGTGTTTTTCACACCTGATGATGATTGCTTGTGTTGCAATCGAAACGTCGTAAGAACTTTATTGTTTTATTTTTATTATTTTATTATTTCACTTCTACGTGACTTTACCGAAAGAACCAAGAAGTTGAGCAATTGTGTTTATGGTTATTGGTTTATAGGAGATTGGGATCAGAGAGGCGATGGGGAGAGGCCTCATCACCGGCACCTCTGAAGAGTAATCCGTCTCTGCTCCAAGGTGTGGTGTCGATATGAGCCTAGCCAATCGCATTCGTGGGTATTTTCATCAAATTATAACTTCAATTTTAGATGTGAAGCTTTCGTGACTGCAAGGATTCATACTCTTAGGTTTTTTCGGTAAAGTCACGTAGGTAAAAAAGAAAATTAAAAGTTAATAAAAGTAATAATGGAAATAAAATAAAATAATAAATCACGACGCATAAACCTTGATGCAGTAATTTTAGCTGTGACAGTCTCACCTGATGACGGAGACTTGTGTTGCCTCCGGAAGGTCGTGATTTATTATTTTATTTTATTTCCATCATTACTTTTATTAACTTTTAATTTTATTTTTTACCTACGTGACTTCACCAGAAAAAACCTAAGAGTTATAACGTCAAGTTGTTGTTATTATTATTCGCTTATATATTTGTGTGCCCAGAAATTCCTCACGACTCTTTATTTATTGTTAAAGAAGGTCCTGACAGCGGCTTCGCAGTAAGGAGGGGAGCGATGACGACGACCACGATGCTGCTGATGCTGCCCCGTGCGTGGTCCCAACCCGAGTGGCAGCGATCCGCAGGTTCAGGCGTTTGGGGTGCTTGGCCAATCGCGGCGACATATCCGTGCGTGTCGGGATCGTCCCGTCCGAATGGACGCACAGGAGGCTGCATCGTCCCCCCACACCCCCCCCACCGAAATCCCAGCTGCTGCTTCTGCTGTCCTCACACCCCCCCCCCCCCCATGGCTCCATCTCCCCCCCATGGCTCCATCACCCCCCCCATGGCTCCATCACCCCCCCCATGGCTCCATCACCCCCCCCCATGGCTCCATCACCCCCCCCCATGGCTCCATCACCCCCCCCCATGGCTCCATCTCCCCCCCCATGGCTCCATCACCCCCCCCATGGCTCCATCACCCCCCCCATGGCTCCATCACCCCCCCCCCCATGGCTCCATCACCCCCCCCCCATGGCTCCATCACCCCCCCCATGGCTCCATCACCCCCCCCCCCATGGCTCCATCACCCCCCTCATGGCTCCATCACCCCCCCCCCATGGCTCCATCACCCCCCCATGGCTCCATCACCCCCCCCCCATGGCTCCATCTCCCCCCCATGGCTCCATCACCCCCCCCCCCCCACGCCCGATCTGATCCGGGTTTTGTCCGTGGAAAAGGTGGCGACCCTGGTGTTACCCCCCCCCCCCCCCACTCACACAATGCCAGGCTGTGTGTCGTGTTTGCCGTGCGCTGGAATTGCCACAGTTCCCCCCCCCCCCGTCCTCTTGCTCCCCCCCGCCCTCCCCCCCTTCCCCCCCCCCCGGCTCCCCTCCCCGGTGCCCCCTCTGACGCGGGTGGCGATCTTGCCGCGTGTTTTGCTTTAGCGCCGCTGAACAGCCGCCGCAGCTGTGGCGCTGAACAAACCACAATCAGAGCCCTGAGCAAGCACCGCTCCCTGTTCTCCCTGCTGCCTTCTCGCTCTTCGCGTTGCTGGGGAACGGCCACGGATGGCGGTGGGGGTGGGAGGCGGGGGGGGGCGGGTGCCCCCCTCCCCCGACCCCCCGCTTGAGGGCAAACGCGGCTCTGCCATTGGCAGGGCGCTGGGGCCAATTATGGCGCGGGAGGGATGAAAGGGGCGCGCTGGGGAGAGGAGCGCGCAGAGCCAGAGAGAGAGAAGAGCGGCCGTGAGAGACGCGAGAAGAACGGCGGAGAGAGGCGGCAAAGGAGCGGAGAGGCGCGGCGGGCAGAGCGAGAGGACAAGGGGCTCCCCCCGCGACAACGAGCGCGACCCGGCACGAGGAGGAGGAGGAGGAATCTCAGTAAGTGTCCCGTGGTGCCAATGGCACGTGGCGCGCACAGCTCGCTCACACGGGGAACGGGCGTCGGTGTTCGAGTGGCAGGTGCTGAGTTGTACCGAGACAACTCAGCTTTATGACGGGACGCCTCTGCGCAGTGTTGATGACTCGAGACACGTGCCCGGGGTTGGCTCTGTGGACGAGAGGTGGCGACCCGACTGGGAGCGCGCGCGCGTGCTCCACAGTGCCCCACCTGCCCGGTCTGCACGGGCCCCGTGGAGCAGAGCCGCGATGCGCCCCCCCCCCCCCGGGTGCATTACAACGACGCCCGATTCCAAAGAGCGGAGATCGAGCGCAGCTTCTCTGTTAAAAAGAAAAAAAGAAGCAATCGGTGCCGTATACAGGAACGACTCTAGATGAGCGTCTACCACGTGATTAGGGACGCCGCGATTTTGTCAACTGTGACGTCCGCATGTTGGTGCGCGTGGTCACCACGTGATGCGCGAGTTTAGCTTGCGCGCAAAGGGATCAGCGCCGTGGATGTTGTCCACGGCCGTCGATCTCACGATCGGGTTCCGCTCCCGCGACTCGCGCCGTGATATCTGCAGCCCCCCCCAGCTCCGGAGCGCCGATTCCTAGTTCAAGGCTGCGGTGCACAGGCGGAATCAGCTGGTACAGCTGTACCGGCTGGTATACAGTGGGTACAATTAATAGAGCTGGTACACAGTCGGTACCAGCTGGTACAGCTGGTACACAGTCGGTAACAGCTGGTACACAGTCGGTACCAGCTGGTACAGTTGGTACACAGTCGGTAACAGCTGGGCTACTCGCTACGATCGCATGTCCTGCGCTGGCTCATGAACTACGGCGTCTGATCTACGTCGTTAACACGGCAGGAGGCTTTACCCTTTCCGGCAACAATCCGCCGTGAAGATGTCCACACACCGCTCACAAGGCATCGATTTCTCGTTAATGTCACCCTACATTACAAATGAATAAGAACGGGGCTTTGCCAATCGTCTGCTGGATGAAGGCCTTGCACCACGCCGCGTGGATCGTGGAGGTTGTTTGACCATACTTCACCACGCCGGTCAGCGCGGGGATGATGATGGGGTGGAGGCCAGGGCCGGTTCAGACATTATTGGCCACTGATGTTAGCCGTGGTCGGGAATCGAACTGGGGGTTGCTGGGCCGCGTTAACTTCTGCACGGCTGCCGTGCCTGGTGCATGAGATTATATATATATGCCTGTGTTCATGCTTCATTAATTATTTATTCAAATATTTCACCTGGAAAAGCACCTTGAGGTGGAACGTCGCGCTTGCAAGGTGGGGGGGGGGGGGGTCCAGGGCAGAGCAACATAGCTGGACGCGTCTCAGTGTTCAGTGATGGAAATTCCACGTTCGTGTGGCAGGTGGCAGTTTATCCACAGCTAACGCATTGCTTGCTGCTCGCAAAATCCCAGATCAAGTTGATCGTGGGGTGGGTTTCTTTTGGTTGGTCTCATGGTGGTTTATGGTGGATAAGGCGCTTCATAAAAAGTAGAGGTTGTTGTTATGATTACGATGACATTTGTTGTTATTATTATGATGATATTTGTGGTTATGATTATGGTGATGATATTTCACGCGAGGTTGTCTCGCTGTGCCATCTAACCTCGACAAAGTTCCACGCGGTGTGCGTGTCAACTTTGACTGCCGCGGGCAACAGGTGTGTAATTATAAATACACGATTGTCTCTCAATTATCCACAAATTAACAGTGCACAATTTTTATTTCTAAATACCATCGCTTCGATTTTTAAACATTCACAGTCACGACATTTATATTTTGTCTCTGGCCAGCAATGGAACTCGTAAAGGTCGACGGAATATGAAGTGCACGGGTGAAGGTGCAGATCCTGCAACTGGTTGGCTCGTACCACTGCTGGCAGAAGGGGGGCCACCACTAGAAGGGGGGCTGTAGCGACCCCCCCCCCCGACCTCGATAGAGTATTTCTCCACCACTCTGGCTGTCGCCTGATGAAGCTGGTTGCTGTAATTACCGGCGAAACGTCACGGTTCTCGAATTATAAACGTCGTGGGTTCACTCTCCAACACACAGCGGCTGTGTGGCTGTACTCGTAACGAATTGGCACGTTTTGTTTACGTGACAAACCTTACTGATTGGTTGTGTCGGGCGGTAGCGGGTTTAACGACACATTTACGCGATCTAAAGCAAAAAAAACGGTATTATGGAGCGCCTATTGATAAGAAGCGGTTGGGTTTAAACTGGAGATGGAATCGAACCAGCGACCTCTGGATCGCAATTCCCAGTGTGCGCTGACGCAGTACACCACGCGTGTCGGCATGTATGCGTGTGTATGTATGTATGTGTGTATGTATGTGTGTATATGTGTGTATGTACGCGTGTATGTATGTGTATGTATGTTCAATGGTAGCGGTAGTGTAGTGGTTAGCGCTACGCTGCGCTACTAACCTGGCGACTCGGAATCGATTCCCGCTCACGGCCAGCACCAGTGACGATTATCTGAACCGGTCCTGTGCCTCCCCTAGGTCGACTCAGCCTCAAATGAGTATCTGGTGCGATGTGTAGTAAACATCGCCACTGGGGAGACAAATGCGGCCGGGCGTGGTGTTGGTCACCCACCCCCTCGTGTGCCGTGCCGGCCTTTATAGGTGCTCGCTAACAGAACTTGCCCCTAAAGTATGTTAAGGCTATACGGGGGATCTTTGTCTTTGTGTGTATGTGTGCATGTATGTGTGTATGTATGTAGCTATGTTGAACTTATTTCGCACCGTACGTAGCCAACCGTGCTAATAGGAGGTGCTGTTCGCATAATTATCCAAGAAATGTAGTTGCTTCACCCTACATCACACAAATTAAAAAGAACGGGGCTTTGCCGATCCACTGCTGGATGAAGGCCTTATACCACGCCGTGTCGTTCATCAAGGTTGTCTGACCATACTTCGCCACGCCGGTCAGCGCAGGGTTGATGAAGGGGTGGAGGCCAGGGCCGGTTCAGACATTATTCGCCACTGATGTTCGCCGAAATGCCTGACAATGAACACGTGACGGTGGTCCTTAATCAATAACGTCACGAAGCAGTCCTTAGTGAGCCGCAGGTTGCCGACCCCTGCCCATGGTAAACTGGCCTCCCATGGTTAACTGGACTTATATGGTAAACTGGACTCCCATGGTGAACTGGACTTAAATGGTAAACTGGACTCCCGTGGTGAACTGGACTCCCATGGTAAACTGGACTCCCATGGTGAACTGGACTCCCATTGTAAACTGGACTCCCATGGTGAACTGGACTCCCATGGTGAACTGGAGTGCCATGGTGAACTGGAGTGCCATGATAAACGGGACTCCCGTGGTAAACTGGACTCCCATGTTCCGGGGATCGGCAAACTAAAATAACAAGAAGAGCCATCTATGTTTTCCCTCTCTCTCCCGAAGTTCACGAGCTGCAATGCGGCCTTTAAAGAGCCACCGCCGCACGCGGCTCCTGAGCCGCAGGTCGCCGACTTCCCCCCGCCCCCCCTTTCGGTATAGGGCTACACCCAGTGCCGGATTCTCCTAGTAGCAACAGCAGCTACATATGTAGCTACTACATATGTAGGTGCTACGGGCCCCGCACTTTCAAGAGTCCCACGCTAAATGCTTTCAAGCTATAAATTCCGGTTCAGTGATTCTGCACTTGCTCTATTACTATAGTACTATACTGCCTTCAAGTTTATGAACGACTTGGTGTTTAAGGTTAGCGATTTGTATTAGTATCTGGCTGTATAGCAAATGAAAAAATACAATTACTTTACTATGCAAGTAAAAAATGTGTGTTTTAATGTTTTATTTTGATTAATTTAGGGCCCCTTTATAACATATGCTACAAGCCCCGCACTCGCTTAATCCGGCACTGGCTACACCGAAGGGGATTACAAACGCAGCAACCCCGCGGCAGCGGCCACGCGAGTCAATGTCACACGGTGCAGCTCGCCATCGAGATTCTTCTCAGAGGTTCATTCGCCAAACGCGACGTCGGACGCTCAGCACGGGGTTCAGCCGGTCGAGCGCTCGGTGCGCAACTGCGATGCACAACACAGGCGCCCAGAGGCTGCTGCTGATGATGATGCTGATGATGCTGCTGATGATGATGATTATGCTCCTGCGCTGCTGATGCTGCTGCTGATGAGGATGCTGATGCTGCTGATGATGATGTTGATGATGCTGATGCTGTTAATGCTGCTGCTGCTGATGCTGCTGCTGATGATGATGCTGCTGATGATGATGCTGCTGATGATGTTGTTGATGCTGCTGCTGCTGATGATGCTGCTGCTGATGTTGCTGCTGATGCTGCTGCTGATGATGATGCTGATGCTGCTGATGATAATGATGCTGCTGCTGCTGATGATGATGCTGCTGCTGATGATGCTGATGATGCTGCTGATGATGCTGATGATGCTGATGTTGCTGATGATGCTGCTGCTGATGCTGCTGCTGCGAACCCGCGTTGTAGGCAGAAGACAGTGCAGACAAATCCAGTGTTGTGCCGCACTGCGCTTGGGCATCTATGCCGCTGACCGTCACCGCCACGTATGCATGTGGCTGTATGCATGTTGAACTTCTTTCGCGCCGTACGTAGCCAACCGCGCCAATCGGAGGCGCGGTGAAGAATGGTTATATAAACCCCATGACTCACGTGGTATGCGGCGGGCCTCATCCAGCAGTGGATTTACGCAAATGCACGGTGTGCGATATGCAAGAAATCACCGTCATCATCTCATAACGATGTGAGAGAGTGCAACGTAGGTTGCACGCGCTGTTTGTCCATACTTCACCACAATGGCTCATGCCGGTTTGCTGAAGGGGGAGGGAGGGGAGGGGGCGGCGGAAGGGGCGGTGGGGGAAGACCGATTGAGACGTCACTCGCCACTGATGTTAGCCGGGAATCGACCGAAGTTAAATCGCTGGGTTCATAGTGCAGTGCGCTAACCGATGCGCCACGACTCGCCCCGGATGAATT